TACAAGTCCCAGAGACCTATTTCGTTCGAGGTCAAAAAGCATTAATTTTGAGACCTTATTATACTATATTTACATATTTAAGGTTTTTTTTGAGACCAACTATTTCAGTTTAGAGTCTATTTCACTTTTTTTTTAATTAAATTTATTCAAAGACAATATTAATAAAGTCACAAAATCATAAATCTTGTGACAAATCCCATCAAAGTTCTAAATCTTAAGTTTAACAACTTTTTTGTTTTTATTTGCAGTTAAAAACACACTTGTTTTGAGACCTATTTCAATCCAGTCCAATTTCTATTCATTTCCCCCCGACTTAAAATAATGGCAAAGTAGGATTGGTTTGTGTAAAAGTTTACCTATTTCTTATGAAAATCTTGTCAGTGTGTGACTTATTTAATAAGTACCTCACATCACCAAGAACAAATAAAGTGTACTAATGGAGAATGTTTTAAGAATAAAAATTGAGTATATAACTGAAATATGGAAGAATTCTAGAGAAATATTTCACTGGAAGACATTTATAAAATGAGGGGAAAAAAATAAGATATAAAAAAAGAGTTAACAATAATAATTAGAAATTTATATCATAAGAGAAGAAAAACATGGGTATTGCTTCATGTTTTAAGTGAAATAATTCTTAGTAAGGAATTAAAGTTTAGCAGTGGAAGTAAATGTTAAAATTTCAAATCTTTATATTCTAGCTCTCCTATTTAGCTTCACACAAACTTTTATATATATATGCAAGAAAAGAGCAAATAGTTAACAACTGGCTACAGTGTATCAACTAAACTTAACTATGCTTAATATACGATAAATATAAATTTTCATGAAATTTGATATTCTTAGCCCTAAATTTATTTTACATCAGTCAATTAAAATTATCAAATAATTGAATTTGGCATTTTAATCTTTTATATTGAGGGAGCAAAATACAAGAATTGCCATTAATTTTCTCTTATCTACTGGTAGTACTTTAACGATTACAGTAACACTTGATCAAAGCTTTACTATTTCACTTAACATTGTCACCTTAGTGCAGTAACTGGTTAACCCCTATTCATAACTGGTTAAATCCTATTCATTACTGGTTAACTCTTATTCAATTTAATAAGAGTTAACCAGTTACGGCACTAAGTGTGAACGCCAGTAAGTAACTGAGGTGAACGCCAGTAAGTAAGTAAGTACTGCACTAAGTGAACAATTTATAAAACAGTATATTAAGCTAGCCACATAAGATATAAATAAACTTTTTAACAAACCTTTAGCAAGCCCTATCTCACATACCTGATAAATCTTATTAGAAATAATAGCAAACCAAACATAAGAAATAAACAAACACACATACATACATACATACAAATAAAATAAAAAGCGTATTGATAAAAAGAAAAATCAAAGGAAAATAGATAATGCAACACAACAAATAAATGAAAAACATCATTTTTTTAAGCCTATATATGTATTTAGTAGACACCATACTTATATAAAATGTATTTAATAATAAATTACCATTTTTCATAACAACACAAAGAAAGATACTCTATATACAAAATATAATCTTGTAAACATATTTTTTGAGTCACTGTTATACAGTGATTTACATAGTATATTATTCCTAATATATCAACTTCAATTATTAGGAAAAATAATAAAATATACAGAATTATATAATTATGTCCATTTCATTTATTATTTTATCATGGGGGAAGAAAAAAATAACTATTTCATAGCAAAAAAAAATATAATAATTAATAGAAACAACAACAAGAAGATCTTTTGGTTCTGGCATAGCATCTTTTTTTGTAAACTGACCTTTTCCACCAACAGTCATAAAAAAATAAGTGCCAAATAATACCCCCACCAACAACTTTGACTTTTTGAAAAAAAAAGTAGTCTGAAGAAAAATTTGAACACAAACTATCAACTGTGTACAAAAAAATATTTCAATTAATTGTAATCGCAACTGGGGTCTCGAAATAAGCTTGCTATACACCAAGTTTGATTACAATATCTCATTCCTAACTCTAGTTATTGTCAGGAAACCATTTTTTCTATTTTTAGTAAGACTGTAATAGTGACCTTGACCCTAGGGGGTCCAAATGCAAACCCAGGTCTTCATATTAGCTTCCTATACACCAAATAAGATTACAATATCTCATTCCTAACTCTAGTTATTGTCCGAAAACCATTTTTCGTAACGGTGACCTTGACCTTGACCCCAGGGGGCCCAAATGCAATACCAACCAAAGTCTTCATATAGGCTTGCTATACGCCAAGTTTGATAACAATATCTCATTCCTAACTCTTGTTATTGTCCGGAAACCATTTTTCTATTTTTAGTAACACTGTAAAGGTGACCTTGACCCTAGGGGGTCCAAATGCAATACCAACCCAGGTCTTCATATAAGCTTCCTTTACACCAAATTAGATTACAATATCTCATTCCTAACTCTAGTTATTGTACGGAAACCATTTGTCTATTTTTCCTAACGGTGACCTTGACCTTGACCCCAGGGGGTCCAAATGCAATACCAACCCAGGTCTTCATATAAGCTTGCTATACACCAAGTTTGATTACAGTATGTCATTCCTAAGTCAAGTTATTGTCCGGAAACCATTTTTTCTATTTTTAGTAACAGTGACCTTGACCTTGACCCCAGAGGGCCCAAATGCAATACCAACCCAGGTCTTCATATAAGCTTGCTATACGCCAAGTTTGATAACAATATCTCATTCCTAACTCTAGTTATTGTCCGGAAACCATTTTTCTATTTTTAGTAACGGTGACCTTGACATTGACCCCAGGGGGTCCAAATGCAATACCAAGCGGAGTTTCCATATAAGGTTGCTATATACCAAGTTTGATTACAATACCTCATTCCAAACTCTAGTTATCGTCCGGAAACCATGATGTGGACCGACCGACGGACGGACCGACCGACCGACCAACCGACCGACCGACCGACAAGCTGACTCCTATATACCCCCCCTAAACTTCGTTTGTGGGGGTATAAAAACTTCGTTTGTGGGGGTATAATTATCACCATATTTTAGCAAGATCTGACAAGGTACTCAATAACCTTTTACCTGCAGGATAATACTTGATAACCCCCTAAAAATTTATAATGAACAGTTCAGTACAAGGAAGATGGACAAGTCCATTTAAGAAATTCAGCAGATTAAGGGTATACAGGTTTTTATTATCGAGGCTAACGGTGTGATGACATTGGGTAAATTGGAAAAAATAAATTGGAGCACTATGTATATGTCATGGACATGGTCAATATATTTTATAATGGTAGGTGTGGTCATCCAAAAAAAAAAATCTATAAAAAATACAAACAAGCATAATACAGTTTAACCTCTTTCGAGAAATTACCTCTAAGAAGCAACCAAATTATTTGCTTCCATAAGGGGTTGCTCTGAGGAGGTTATACTATAAAGATTGACAGCAACTTTAAAACCACTTTCTTAGGAAATATCATCATCATCACAAACTTAACATTTAATAAAAATAATCTAACTTTACAGGTGGAGAAAAAAAATGATTACATATTATTGTATCATTTCGTAACAGTTCTAAATATGCGTGTAGTTGCTTAGCTTAGCTTAGCTTGTCAAGATCTAAAAATATAACAATCATGTAAGCCGGGTACCAAAAAATGATGTTACTTGAAAAAATCAAACAAATGTCTGACCTTTATAGATTAATCATGGTATCATTGCATTACAATTTTTTTTTACTTTTTAATTATATATTCCAAATTATTATACATTATGAATAGATTGAGATTTGGCTCTCAGACAGGTTCTAAATGCCTTTAATCATGTTGGCATAAACTTTGGCTTTCTTTGCGGTTTTTTTATATGCTAGAAACTTAACCATAGGCACTTAATCAAACAATATTTGATGATAATATTGCATATGATTTCAGAGACAAATCTAACATAAACAGAAAATGGGTAGCACTGTGTAAAAGTTTACTATCAAGTGATGTAGGAATTACCTCCCTTTAACTGTGTTTTTTTCCTTTATATTCAATTTCAAAAAAGTGTTTTTTGAAACAAATTTTTTTATCTTTATTTTTTCTAAAAATATCCTTTAGAATGACAACATTTAAATCACAAGCATCTTTAGCACTTTCAAGATTTCTGCACCTTAAATTTGGTATTGAACAATAAAAAAGTTCTAAATTTTTTAACACCAAGTGAAAAAGAAGGTTATCAACCAGACAATACGCCCCCCTTGAACACACCCCTGTCCTTGAATGAGATAATCATGGTTTACGTAGATGAGCAAATTACATATATAACTTTATATCATAACTGATTTCTTAACCATATTTATGTTATATTTGTCCGTTAAATCGGCATATTTGTATAATTATACCAGTACACTGTCCTGTTTGCATGTTAGACAAAGCCTGCTATTTAAAACATATTCAAGTATAACAAGAATAAGAATCCTATTTTCTGCATTAAATTTCCGCATCTCTATAACAATTAAATGGCACTTATATCTCCTCTATTATATCACATCATGCTATGTACAACCACAAAATGCATGTCAACTTGTAGAATCTCAAATATTCAGACCAAAGTCATTTCTCATCCGCGAGAACAAAAAGCACGCAATGCTCTAAAGAACGATTGCATGTTAACAATGCATTCACTATGAAGCTCTCTTAAAAGTCCATAAATTAGCGTATCTTTCTTACGTTATCAATCCCTTGTAACCAAAAATACACACAACACTGTAATTAATATACTTTGGTGTAAGATTTTTTCCCCCCTCAATTCATCTAATTTTTTCTCTCATTATTTTCCTATTTCCAGAAAATGACATTCATCACTGATGATACAAATCAAAATAAATCATTCAAATTGAATCATTTTGAAACCATGAAAATTCTGTTTTCCAGAAACTTTTTTTTTCAAACAGATTTTTCGATATTCAAAAAAAACGAATATATCACTTTAGATTCAAAATTAACACTTCTATTCATTTATATAAACTTTATCTATTTTTTTTAAATGTACACACCAAAAAAAATAAATCCACCCAGATTTAAAAGCCAAACACCCTGATTTTATTTGTCTTCAACCTGAATTTAAAAACGATTGTTATCATACTTTGTATATTTTGATTTTTAATATTTTGAAAAACATATCACTGGCAAGCTCTGTATTTATCTTATATTACACGCATACATGTACATTGTTAATAACGGATGCAAAAAATTTAATTCCAATATTTCAAACCCGTACCAGTACTAAAATGGTCTATATCTAAGGCCCATCAAAATATCTGCACGTTCTGATCACAGCCTACGCTTATAACTGAATTATAATCCTCTATCCCTCTCAAGCCTATCAATTTGAAAACGTGCAAAACTGCATTAAAAATCATGAATTTCTAAAACGAGATTTTGACTTTCTCCGACTTTTGGCGAGCACATTACATGCAAATATATTAAATAAATATATATATATATATATATATTATGATGAAAATATTGTATTTTTATCTATGAAAGTTTAATCTTTTACCCTGTTGGAACTGAAAAATGATCAGCCCTTGCCACCAATAATAAAGCCAGGCCCGCCTGCACATCTATGCAAACTGACCAGTCTCTATACTATTGACCGACCAACTTTTAATTTTCATCTTGATATTTCTAGAATTAATAATGGAAAGTTCCATTGAAGAATTCAGCAAAGTAAAGCTTTAATTGAAATTTTTAAAACAGTAAATCTGCAACCAGCCTAAAATTCGAGCATTTCATTGGTCAGATCAAAAACAGCTTTCAAAAATTAGCCAATAATAATGTATCATTTTCTTTAAACAATATAATAGTGCAGCATTTATCTAACAAGTGACTCAATTGAAACTTTTTAGATCCATATCAAAATAAATGAAAAAATATTTTAAAAAACTCCGTAAATATATTCATTCTTAAAGTTAATTTCAGAAATTACAAAATTCTCTTACAAAAGGATAAAAAGATTTTTTTCTTATACACTCAATATTCCTTGGCTTTAATTATTATGCGTTTTATCAACAAATGTTATAAATTTCAGAATTCATCATTTAAATGACCATAAAGTAATTAATATCTTAGTCAGAGAAAAGCTCATATGATTTAATACAATGTTCATTGAAAAGGTAAAAAGAATATATAAAAAGTTGCAGCGAGCTAGCACTATTAATTCAGCTGAAAACCAAACATGTTTGTGGTAAATATGGTAAATAATCAGCTTGACTGGTTTACAATTTTTCAAAAGAAAAAAACAAGGAAAGGAAGAAAAGAAAAATAAAGAAGCTAACATAGTTCCATTTTGTAACTCTGAACACTTTATGAAAGACTGATTTTCAAGTCCTAAATCTTCAGGTCCTAAATCTTTTTAAGTCCTAATTACCCGATTGTGTAGACAAAATGTTCAAGACTTGCTCATCGCTGCCTATCTGATGGTTTATACAAAATTCTTCAAGACTGGTTCATCACTGACTTAACTGAATTACAGCACAGTAGACTGCTTCAAAAAATTTCAACACCAAGGTCTACGACCAATATTCACAGTGAATGGGTCCTCCAAGATTGTATGTCAATGGGGCCAGAAACTTTCACAACAGATTTCTTCATCGAACAACTTGATTCAGATACATAATTCACATAACTTGCCGTCCCATGGTCATGATCCTTTTTGCTTTTGTCGTATGTGATTAAATACGCGTTATTAAATACACCAAGTAGAGAATGCTGTCTTGACAATTGTGTGTGGACTGGAATAAATTTAGCGACTACTACAAGTTCAACTGACTTATGGCTTGTTTAACGTAGCGAACAAGATGCAGTAGACTGCTATGTAACGTCAATGGTCCACAATCCAGATCAAGTTGAGCAAAGAATTCTGAAAAAGAATTGAAAGACAGGTGTGTATAAAATTCATTCTTTTATGTATTATTGTAAATTTATAAATAAACTTTTCTGAGAGAGAAATTAATTTTTTTTACATTTACTTCATTTCAATATGTGACATGGCCGTGAAATGCTTTGAACTTCGAAATAATTATGTCCATGGTTAACTTAAGAATATGTTATGTCAGTAACCATCAGTACAATGCCTGATCAAACTGGGCAGGATGTGCAGCCACAACCTATCTCAACTTTGGTCTTCTAAAGTCTTTAACGTTTCTAGTATTCAATGAATTAAATAGAAATACAGCCAAGTCATCCATGACACAGTTTGATTATTGAAATCCAGAAGAATTATAACAAAGTAAACATATTGAGGGGAGTGGTTACAGTGTCTGCCTATCAACCCTGGGAGCATGGGTTCGAGTCCATCTACAGTCATGACCATGATCCTACAAATGACACCAGTACTGGTAAGTTCCTGGATGCGGACTTGAAAGTGATTAATATAAGTTGCAAGACTTTGTTTTACAAGCAAGCTTTAACAAATATGTGTGAAACTGATGTAAACATCAACTTGTTTTCTTCTCAAATAAGTATGTTTGTTACTGCAGGCATTTGCCTCCTATTCAGATAAGAATTTGGATACTAGTGCCTAATTTGGCTTGTAACTTCGTCAGAACAAAATTTACACAAAATAATATATATGGACACTTTAAACATTTCTTTATTTATCATTTTAAGACAGAATCATTAAAAAAAAATCCCAACAATCTGCGCAACTTACCTCTGTTATCACTTATTATATTAGACGTGGCCTGATCCCACAGTTCATGTGCCTGTATAAGATAGCACGTGTTGGAGAAATACTTCTGTGTGATGGAATGTATCCGCTGGGGAACAATAACCGAGCCTGGCGGAGCTATCTGACCCTGACCACTGCTACCGTTAGATATCTTAGAAGGGGTTGCGTCACTGCCCTGAAAAGCAATATATAGTTTTTAATCGGAAAATCTTTTACACGATCTTGGATCTTGGCTTTTGTTGAACTAAAAAAAGTGCCACTGGTCATTAAGTAAACATTAATTCAGATTTTCACGGATACAAGTTAAAAATATCAGAAAACCTGAATACCCTGAATTTAGCATCATTTACATTGTTTTTATATATACAGTAGAACTTCTATGAGTCGAACTTCGATTAGTCGATTTTCTCGATGTGTCGAAGAAAAATTAAAGTCCCGACTTTTCCCCTTATATATTCCTTATAAAAACCTATTTATGAGTCGAGATTTTATGTGTCGAATTTTTCGATGTGTCGAAGTTTTTTCGTGGTCCGTGTTAAGTAAATCTAGTGCAATTTACCACAAATAAGTCGAAGTTGTTCGATTATTTTGACACCGTCGATCTCGAGACATTTTTCACACCTTATCTGGCTGCGAAGACGATTTCCAATCAACTTGTGTGACAGGTGTTAATTACACAGCCGTGTGTTCAAAACAGCCTTTTTTGCGATTAAAATGTGTGATAAAATGCTTTTAATCGTTACTATTGTAAATTGCCGTATTGGTCTTCAAATAAACACAGCTTAAGGAATTACAGTGCCTATTGCGGTACTCGTGAGAACAAAACCCCAAAATATATATAACATTAAAATTTATTAAAGAAGATTAATCCCCTATTCGTATTGTTATCACTTATTATAAACTCTGACCCATGTTGTAAAAATGCAACGGTTAGAAATAATTTTATGTTTGTGGAAAAAACAGCCTATATTACTAATGCTATTAGTTTATCATTGGGATTAAAATGCAATATCAGTTTAATTTTGGAAATAACTTGAAATGATTTCGTTTTAACATGGATCGAAAATGTTGCTATGGAACTAACAAAATCATGGTCATAAGTCACATATGTAAGTTTTTACGTCAAGTTTAAAATTCGACTACCAAAAGCTCTAACTTTGATATTATATATAAAAAGTGCTTTAAGGAGTATAATTTTTTTTCAACTTCATGCAAATGCCGGAAAACTTGTACCCATACAATTTAAAAGTAAAGATTCATTAAAGGTATGTTATCGAGACATTTCATTGAGGTATTAATATAGCAACCGAAACAAATTTATTAAACGGGCTTACCACTGATCCAACTGAGCAGACACTATTGGCAGGAGATGGTGTTGGTGACATAGGTGACGGGGTTCCGGTTGACCGATTCCAGCTAGACTGGTGAGGAGATGGGGCGGACGGTGCTTTCGGTTGAGAACTAGACTTTACACTCTACAATAACAAACAAGGTTATAATAAACTTCTATTTCATGGTCCTCAGTAAATAATATATATTAGTGGCCTCCAGGGCCAACTGGTTACAGTCATTAATTTATAACCACTTGGTCCCAACCACTTTGGGTTCAAATCCCTGCTACAGATAGACTTGAACATTTTCTGTGTGATACATCTCCACGGTTGTTTAATCATGATACAGTCTCAAGTATAATTATGATACATTAAACATAAAAATTTTGCCTTTTGTATATGTTCAGGAAGTACCAGTAATAAAAATGTATGTCCTTTAATTCAACACTGCAGCAACAGTATATTTGAGGTCATTGACTTGTGGCAATTTTGCACCAAACTAACATTTTTTTATGTACCATGAGTTTGTTATCAAGCTTTAATGAATAAGGAGGCTAATATTTTTATGTTTGGCTACACACTCTTTTCTAGGCCACATTCCTGCAGACTAATAATCTAAAGATTGCAGACCAATTAGGTTTGAACCCCTTCAGCAACAGACTGTTGTTTCCTTGAGCAAGAAACTTTACACTCATTGTTAACACTCACTGACTTAGTACTTGTTGGTTATAGGAACATATCCTAGAGTAAGTATCAAAGCTTACAGGATCCTATACAACCAAACTTACCTAAATTCTGCATCAACAATTTGCCAATTTTCTGTAGCAGGTACATTATCAATTCATTCACTATATTATTATCCTACCTTATTATTATGATCCTCTAATATACGTTTCAACTTCACTGTTTCATTCTTCTTCAGCATATATAACTTCAAATAGACCAGTGACTGAATACGTAAACTGAAATATATACAAAAAAATAATGTTATCATACTTCAAACAAGGCCTTCAACCCTTAAAAGAAATAATCTTCTTTTTTAAACCCTTTATTCCCCTAAATGTCTAAAATGGACTTGTCTAACCTCCACTTTTGGTACGGTCCATTACCAATTTTGGGGATATCACAATTTTGAAGTTGGTCATTCAACAATATATAGTCAGGTTAGACTACACAGATGTACAGGCTGGCCTGGCTCAATACTAGTGGCAAAGGCTAAAAATTTTAGGTCCAAGCACTGATTACTGGCTTATACCTAAAATAGTTGTTTTAGAAAAAAATAAGGAATTTATAATAAAAATATTGACATTCCCTATCCCATTGGAAATGTTGGAGATTGATACAGTCTTTTCCAAATATTCATCCGGAAAATATATCCATTCAAATTTAATTACTCTTAAATCTTACTTAAAAGCCCTGGTTATCTCCCTTCCATTATTCAACTATTCCAGTCAGTTAAAAACAGTTGAGAAATTAAGAAGGAAGTTACATAATCAAAATCTTGACTTGTGCAACTTGATTAACAATAAAAAAATTGTGGTCTGTTTAAATTTCATCTGATGATTGGAATGCTTGAATGATTAGATTTTTATCTTTTCCCAATATCTTTAAAAACCTTTTTCCGAGCCCAACTCAATTAGCAAACGGGCTGTTTATGGCTCTCCTTTAACTGCCACAGACATAATTATACACAAAAGAGAAAAGAGAATTCTGTATATTCCCAGAGAACAAAATGACAAAGACTGCTTTAGATATGGGTTGAAAATAATATGATGAATATAGGTATGTTTTATAGGGCACTGATGATATGTTCACCATTTTAAGTATGTAAAATTCATTATAATAGTAAAAATCATTCTGACTCAGTACTTCCTTTTTCTCAGCTATTATATAACCAAACATTTTAGCAAAATGACTATATCACCTCTTATTTACATAAGTTTTATGTCTAAATTAAAACCTGGTACAAACATCGTCAAGGTAATAAAACTATGTTTTACAAATGTGAAAGTAGCTGCATGGCCGAGTGGTTAACCTGTCAGTCTAACTAGTGTCTGTGGGTTCAAACCTTGTCAAGGGCAACTTTCTGTTTCCTTAAGCAAGAAACTTTACATTTATGTTTGGTTCTTAAGGGACAGATTCAAGAGTGTGTCTATAGGGTTATAGCTTCCTACACAAACAAACTTAATATAATAAATGTAAATGATACATTTTTCTCAATGAATAATCCCAGGTAAAACATGCATCTCTATTGATCTACTTTCAAAGCATTAGAAGAAAAACCTGCAAAATCATATTTTTTTTTAATTTCCTTTTCAATTTCACAAGATTCAAAAGAAAAAACAATAATTGAAATGCCAGTATAAAAAATTTAAATGGCGAGAATTCCATTTTCTCTAAGCTTTGATTATAATGCTATTTCTTGCTGTTGTTATTGTTGTTTTGTTGTTTTTTTCTGTGATAGAGATATAATTCCTTGTATTAATACAAATCAATAAAGATTTACAGCTACCGCAGTTGCTTTGATAAATGCCTATTATACGTGCACACGCAAACAGCCACGTCTCTTGTTCTAATAGTTCACCGGAAACCGTCCATCTTATATTACCAGATTTAAGTGCCATTAATACCCTCGTAGAAACAGGCGAATGAGAAGATAAAAAAACAGCAAGACCTTACTGCATTATGTAAATTATAGGCAGAAAAAGAAATATGGAAAGATAAAAATTTATGTGCCCAGAAAATGTCAAACCTCTCAATTTCTGAATAATATTAATAATTACACATTTGGCTATAATATAAGGATGTTGTTCATGGCATAATCACATCTGTTTATATTATATTGCACCTGATTACATGCTTGCATGACCGATTTCTGTCAAGAGATCCTGTTTGCTATTTACAGGCCCCGTAAACATATTATTTACCCTTAAAACACTAAATATATCAAAATTAATGGACTTGTCCGCTTTCAATCTGAACTACTCCATTCATCAGTTTTAAGGGAAAATTCAAATTATGCACTCACTAAAAAATGAAGTGCAGACCAGGTGGCACTGGCACTGGTAAGCAAGCTGATCTTGGTCTGCACTGCCAGCAGGCAATGGATCAATGGAATCAGGCAAAGAATCAATGGAATCAGGCAAAGAATCAATGGAATCAGGCAAGGAATCAATGGAATCAGAATCAGGCAAGGAATCAATGGAATCAGGCAAGGAATCAATGGAATCAGGCAAGGAATCAATGGAATCAGGCAAGGAATCCATGGAAGCAGGCAAGGAATCAATGGAATCAGGCAAGGAATCAATGGAATCAGGCAAGGAATCCATGGAAGCAGGCAAGGAATCAATGGAATCAGAATCAGGCAAGGAATCAATGGAATCAGGCAAAGAATCAATGGAATCAGGCAAGGAATCAATGGAATCAGAATCAGGCAAGGAATCAATGGAATCAGGCAAGGAATCAATGGAATCAGGCAAGGAATCAATGGAATCAGGCAAGGAATCAATGGAATCAGGCAAGGAATCAATGGAATCAGGCAAGGAATCCATGGAAGCAGGCAAGGAATCAAGGGAAGCAGGCAAAGGATCAAGGAAAGTTGGCAAAGAATATAGGCAAACAGGCAAAGAATATAGGGAGCAGTGGCTAAGTCCTAATTATCAATGTGTCTGCCTCTCAACCAAGGCCTACTGGTCTTGCAATGATTAAGTTTCCTCATATCACACCAGTTTGGGTTAGTTTCAAGGAGAAGACGTTATTGTGTTTCAAATAGGCTACAAATTTTCCAAAAAAAATCAAGCTCATTGCAACATTAATCTCGAAAATTTATTTTAATGTTGGTTATGTCAAAAAACCTCAGTGGAGTCCCTTTATACAAGTCATGTATTTTAAGATCTCAATAGTTGCATCATTCTTTTTAATCAGTAGAGTATCAGAGTCTTTATATTTTACAAGCTCCTGGTATTTTATACAATCTACTAAAACATGAGTTTTACCACCAATTTGGTTACTAATAATGCCTGTTTTAATCTTTAAAGCAAGTTTATGAAACATGCCTAGAATAACATCTGTTTTTATGTACAGTACAACCCACCTTCTCTCATCTCACATAATAAAAGGTTACTTAAAAATATCACTAAAATAAGTACAAATGGATGTTGACAGATTGAAGAGACAGGGTTTAAATAACATTAATATCAAGAAACATTGACATTTGATATGCTATCAACTTCTTTATTTAAATCATTAAACCTAGTATCAGATGTTACGCTCTGTAGTTTGAAAATGATATCAAACATTGATCACACAGGATATAACAGATATACCATAAAGGATGGTGTCTAATTTTTTTTTAAACCCTTGACCTGCTGGAACAGAAAGTGATCAGATAGAGACAGACATGCCTTCACATCAGTGCAGAGTCTGATATTAGGCTCTATACTGTTGGTGACTTCATACAGAAATTCCCTAAAACTTGATATAGACTTTTCAGAACTAGAAATACAGCAAATCCATTAGATAGTCAAACTGTTTAAAGGGTTAAAATTATTGCACAATTTTGTTTAAACTAAATTGCCCTTCTTAATGAATTGAGATACCTCAATTGTAATTACAAATGTATTACATTTATGTATCGAAATCTCAAAAGCTAGCGAAAATACACTAGAACCTTAGGACAGACAGCAAACTGGATTAATTCTGTGCTGTTGGATCTGGCTTTAAACTTGTCGCACAGTCAAATCATTTTTGCCCCAAGTATTCAGCCAGTATTAATGACTTATTTGAACTTTTCCCAGAATCTCATTAATTTTACACAGTCAGATCTCAAATGTTATTGACACAGAATACCCTCCAGAAAATAAGCCTGTGAGACCCTGTGACATTTAAAATTTTTCTTACATTAACTCTAAATTACCATGTTTAATATCTTTAATGGACTTGTCCATGATTCATTATCTGGACAAAACCATCCATAACTTTCAGGGAAAACTTTAAAATTAAGTATTGGTTGAACAGCCAACAGTGCAGACCATAAATAGATGACATGAATGTGATGATCGGAAGGCATGCGTAACCTCATATTGGTCTGCTTTGGTTTTATGGGTAGATCATTTGCCGAGCAGACTTAATATATTAATGTGTGGAAAAAAAAACAAACTTTATAATCTTTTCATTTAAGAAATTTCTTAAAATTTAAAAAAAAAAATTACTAGTACCCTAGCTGGCCGAAATTTTGTAATTGACATGTCCTGTATAAATTCTAGTAACAGTTCAATGTTTGATTTACTGTATATCAGCATAGAAAAATATTAAAATCTAGAAGGGTGATCCCCCGGAAGTATTAATGGCAACAAAATTACATGAAATCACAGAATCAGTTTGATTGAGTCTGTACATGGGGGATAATGAATATGTGAAACAACCCTCATGCCCCCTAGCACCGGCTCTAGCCAACAGGACTGTGCCTGTTCATACTGCATAGCGATATACAAATGCCTCACTCTATCTAACACTTTGTGCATAGCTCTGTTATTAACATTGCTAGGGCTACTTGACATAGATCAAATTTCATTTCTAATAATAACCTAGTCAGCAGCAATATCATGAGAATAATTATTATAATTATGAACAATTTCAGAGTGATTTCAATTAATTTCTGCAGGAATTTCAATTAACATTTCTGAAAATAAAAAGTATCCTTGGAAGATGAAATTAATTTCTGAAACCTTGACACCAGCCAGTCCTGCAGTCACCTCAGTGTGATAATAATTGTCGTGACTGAATTTAAGAAGCAAATATTAGTTCTCTTACAAGCATCAAGATATTAGCATCTTATTATGGCCATTTATATCTTTTTGTTCATTTTCTCCAATTAGGCAAACATGGCACCATTTTTGTCATGTTGATTGTGCATATTAAACAATACAAGCTATCAAAATACAAGCTATCTAGCGTAACATTTAATAATCCTTTTATATCTAAATGGCCTTAAAATGATGGTATGAAACCAGAAATAATCCCGAATCTTTTTTATGAATCTTATCGCTAATAAAATCACTGTTTGGACTTTGGGTGCAATGAATTATATCACAAGGGCATAGCCAAATGGATATAATGATGTGCATCTGAACCACAGTGATTTTTTTAGTGATGAAATTACTGCTTGGGTTAGGCAGTTCATTATTGCCATTAGAGGCAGTAAGAAAACCTACATACCATAATACTGTGAGTTTGTGGGTTTTGTCGGATGTCTCCAAGTCATGGTACATTCTAAACTGATGAAATTGATGCCTGAAAATATACAATACATAAACATTATAATTTAAGGTGAACAGGTCTTAAAATAAGTTTTATAGATGAGACCTTGAAATCTACAGACTTCTCTATAACAAACTTGTGTAGTTATTCTTATACATGTACAGTCATGTCTCCACTAAACAATAATGTCTCCACCAACTACGATCCTTATTATAATTATATTTCTTATAATACAACTAAAAGCACCAATATGGCAACAAATCTAAATAGTAAGCTCCCCTGTCATTAAAACACATTTTTTTTCTTCCTATTACGTGAACAGTTCCTACAGTTTGACATTAAATAGTGGTTCAATTGGGATAAAGCATTCGACTCCTTGTAGTGTGAACTCAACTTGTAGCTTTGGTCAGTTCAATTTTATATATTAAGATAAATTATCATATAGCAAAAAAATGTCATATAATGTACTTTTGTATGAATCCCGTAAATGAAAACAGTATGTGAAGCAATAAACAAGTTAGCTACCACAATACACCCTAATACACCAAAATACACCCAAATACATAGGTAAGTTCAAGATTGTATTGATTACAGTACAACAAGGTTAAATGATTTACACTAATTCTCTCCTGTGATGAAACAATGACAAAAACTACGTATTAGTGGGCGTAAATCTTCATGATAAACCATTGTGTACCTCCGAGCAACAGTAACTATTCAATAAATACCTATCATTGTAACACATGATACCGCATTTACTGTAAAGAAACCAAAACAACCTAACACATCATCGGCATTGAACAATGCTTTCAATTTCTATGTGTTTAATCAAGTCCTTCAAAGCATAGTTTCATTTTGCTGCTGTCATTTGATTAACACTATTCACACAATCTGACTTTCTGAATGGAGGTATTATTTACTCTTTGAAAATGTAATATATACAATTAATTATACAATTCATATATATAGCAACCCATAGATAGCAATCTTTATACATTATTGTTAATAAATATTGAATTGTACAATATGGGAATATATTTGTAGGAGTCGATTGTTAAATCATATCGTACAAGTCACTAGGCTAGTCTAATATGATTTCTCTAGGTTGCAAGTGTACGAGTCCAAATGTATTCTGGCCTGTGCAGTCCAATGTCACACACAGGAACCATACCGAGAGCTAACCTGTCCATTGTCACACACAAGAACCACACCGAGAGCTAACCTGTCCATTGTCACACACAGGATCTGCACCAACAGCTAATTTATCCAATGTCACACACAGAACCACAACCGAATGTCACACACCGAAACCACAAGGTTTCTTTAAAATCACCTCTATTTATTCCGAGCAATATCATGTGCGAGAGGACAAAAACACCATTTTAAACAAAAGTGAAAAATCTATGATAATCTTCAAAGGGAAAATTTCACTTAGAAAAAATACGATGAATCAAACCGATTAATATTAAGCTAACACACATTTTCGTGATAAAAATCTTCAATCAATTAAAACAAAATTTTCAAAACACATCAATGACACTGCCTACAGATTGGAAATTATGAAAATTCCCAGGATTGTCATAAAACAAAGCGATAAGGTAGGGCACATTTTAATCGTTTTCTGTACTGCTTTGATGACTTGGCCAGTAACATAATTTACTCCTCAGATAAGTCCTTTAAGCCAAATCAATAAAAAATTGCTTAATAACACTTTCTTCTAATAAATCACATTTTCAGGTGCTTTTATTTGTACTGAAGACCCTAATTCTTAAAATCAATATCACATTTCTTTTTGTACTGCAGACCTTAAAAATTTTAAAAACAATAATTCATGCTGTCAGATCATGGACTGCACTGTTTGCTAATAATTCAGTCGGTACATATTTTGAAATTTTCACTAACAATATTTTAAAAAATGTCGACTGGTTTTATCCTGATTGATGGATGGACTGTGAAGTCCATTTCAGATATTTCACATAACCAGAGTTGTTAACTTGATTTGGTCAAACTGCGCATACAGAATCTGCAGGCAGCTGCCAATATTATTGTTTAACACTCGGTCAGACAGCAAAACTTTGCATATTGGACTGAGTGGCGATGGCCTGCAATTATAGCGTAAAACTTAAATTTGCTTATTTCACTGACGATCTGTGAAACATATTCATTTAATATTACAGGTATACATACGGCACATTAAGATACAACAAGAAATTGAAACACCAACAATTTATGACAATTTACGACCAACACAGTATGTTCGAATATTTACCCAAGAATAATTAACATGGATTATAGTCATAAAATACGATTTTCAACATGCCTGCTTTGCACAAAACACTTTCCAACAAAAAGTAATCAAGTTTTATCTCAAAGAAACATTGACGTAAAAACAAATTGATTTGGTTCATTTTCAAGCAAATTATGTAAAAGATCTGTTTAAAGTAGAAAATTATTTTTAATAAGCATTATGATCACCCATTAACTTAAATAATCTTTGAAAACATCAAATAAACCTATATATTTGTTTCCTGCGGTAAAACTGTAATATCATTAAGCATTTTACTGCATAAATATACAAATGCATTTCATTTAACGGGAAATCAAATTAGGCATCTTATAGGACTCTTTAAAAACAGTTTGCCCGCTAGCGGCAACAGAATTTTTCCATGCCACCAGTGCAGAGTTAGGACCAACCAGCACAGAGTTGGCAATCAGATCATGACCTGAAATGTTCGCTTTTTAGTCAGTACATATTTTCAAAATTTCAAAAAAATCCAGAAATGATTAATGGATCTACCTAGATTGAAAGACTGACATAAGTCCATGTTAGGATTAAAAGAATAAGAATTATTCAATCTCAGTGAAACCTGTTCAGTAAGAACTTACCAGTACCAAAGACCTTACCCTAACCAAAGACTTAATCTTCAAATTAGAACCTTTTTTTTTTTGTTAATCTGTGTATTTGCAGAACCAGGGGTTAAAAACAATGGGGACCAAAGCACTTGTTTGGTTTAGGAAGGGATTCATGATCAGAAAGGTTTGTATTAGCCAGGTTCTACTAAACCAAACAATCTTATTTTCTCAAAATCAAGTGGGGAAGTACTATCAAATGGTCTACAGAGTAACCATCATGCTTGTTAAACTTGGCTTTTATTTTGCTTGTGATTTTGGGCAGTTATCATCAAAACAATGGGTAGAAGGTACGGCCTCAAGCTTGGTATAAGTTCCAGAAGAACAACATTCATTGACAACATGTCTAAAATATCCATTGCGTACCAAAATCAACAGATTCATATTCAAAAGTTAACAGGAATTGAAAACTTAAAATTCAAACCTCAAGAACGTAACTACAAGCAAAGACAGTTTCCACCCAAACACTATAAAATCTTACATCAAGATATCAAACTCGGTACATCTTCAATTTATACAGCAAATGACATAAAAAAACACTTAATGCACTTTCAGTCTACATGTACTTAAAACTTACCAAATCCACTACAGCAGTTAGATTAGTTATATCAGATCATCACCTTAGTTCCGTAACCTATCAACTCTTACTGAATTATATGAGGAGATAACATGTAAGTGACGAGATAGAAACTTATTCAAATTGTATCCTTCAAAATTAAAATAGTAAAACCACTTATTTCAAGGACATGTGGAAATTAAAATTTACAGAGGTCGTGAAAAATGTTATGACTTGTGTCAAACTAACAATCATATGGCTTGTGCTACACAGTTTTAACTGCGACATTTTCCCAGAAAAATAACTGTCCTTTCTATGTGAATTATTATGACCCTAAAATAATGTCATTTCCTAGCAGTAAAATGGCAGACGGCTAGACAGAATTCTAAATCAATCTATAAACAAGATAATAATATCATTTCTCCCAGATGAGTATTCTTCAGTCCGTCACCTTCTTATATAATACTATAACTGTAAATTTCTCTTGATTATTTCTCCGTCTTTTAAGCAACTTTTTAACATTGACAAGTGAAAGCATTTTTCGTGTGGGTGTGTGAAAATGTGTGTGTATCAAATGAAATTCACTATACAGCAGAATAGGTTTATTAAAAAAAAAAAAATATGTATATTAATCCTATTTTTAACACTTTCTGAACAGGATGTGTTCAACAAAATCATTTATCATTTGAAGGCAAATTTTGAAATATGTACTGAATGAATAGCAAACGGTACAAACCAAAATCTTTGTCTGCACTTAAGCGCAAGTCAAGAATTGGTTGCTGCAAGCGCAGATTTATGATTAAACAATTAACCCAAGAATATTGGTTTAAACATATTTATTTAAGCTTGATTGCGAAACACGTTCTTGCCACTTATATTAATCACTTTTGAGTCTGCTTCCTGAAATCAACCAGAACTGTTGTCATATGAAGAAACATTGTCGTGACCCTCTTAGGGCTCGAATGCATGATCCCTGGTTTGAGAGGCAGACACCTTAACCACTAGGCCACCAATCCCAAAGATTATGACTTTAAAAGAGAGTGTGACATCATGGCACTAGTCTCAGATGAGACTGACTCATTAAAAGTCAAAAGTGCTAGACAGTTCAATCACCCTCATGTGGAGAATTATCCAACAATAAAATCATGTAGACAAATCTCACAGGAATGCTGGAAACTCTCTTTTGGCAACAACATTCATACATTAATGCGAAATAATCCAATTAACCCATAAAAAACATGGAATTTGCCCCATATTAGCTGACTTAACCACTAGAAAAAAATTCATCAATTTTCAAGAAAAAATCAAAAAATCATACAGATAGACCAATTTTTTACTAGTGTATACAGTACCAGTACTTTGTATGCAAGTCATGTTCTATCAAGATTCTCTCATACAACTTGAATGACACGAGTTAAAATGCACATCATAGTGATAATGATTCTTGAAAAAAAAAATTATTCCTCTTTTTTCTCCACAAACTTAATGTCAATTTGCATAATTATGACAGAGTTCCCACTTTTTTTCTCAATCTCCAACCAGTATTATTGACATAAACATAACAAGAAAAGTATATTTGACCATTAGATTCAAATAAATAAAACAACGTAATAAGTAACAAATTGTAAAAATTCACTCATTAATAAATATCTAAGTGTCAAATGATAGATTAAGTCCGAGATACGTTTTTGTTACGAAATTACAAACAAAACCAAACAAATCATAAACCCGAGACTGCAGAAAAATTGTCTGTCTGATGGAAAAAAAATTCTGCGGAAAACGGTCTGTACATAATCAAAATAAGTAGTCTAGACTCGGCTGACAATATTTGATTAATTCATTTATTACCATCTAATTGGTCTACCAGTGGCACTATAATAATCCTACTGTGAACTAATCAATATTTTCAATTAACAAAACCTATACACTTTTAAATGGCATCATTTCTTCAATCTATTATCCTATGACATTGGGAGACGACTGACAATACGTACATTTTTGTATTTAACAAACACAAATGTATACAACATTTCTTATTTCATTTATTTTATTATGAACTGAGCCATACTTGTCTTGTTATGTTTTGAATCAGTTTAAGATCTTGGCATCAAAATATTAAATTTACAGTTCGGCCAACAGTGAAGTCTTGAACCTGGTCAGACTGCATGGATGTGCAGGCTAGCTTGACACTATACTGGTGGAACTGGATTGATGTTCAAATAAAAACAAGGAACAGTATAGTGAGCTGGCTTGGATGTGCAGACTGGGGCTTACACTTGACACATAATGGTGGATTTGGCAAGAATTATTCCCTGTTTCATAGCCCCTCTCAGATTTGAGTATAAAAAGTTATCAATCAATAAAAATCATAAAGCTTATACTAATTTATGATAATTATTACCTGATAATTCTAAAACTAGAACTAATGCAATTTTCTCTGCAAAACCATAATGTTTTGTGTGTATTCCGATACCTAACAAAATGCAACACACACACAATGAGAAATGTTGCTTTTTTGTACTGCTGTTTTTATGGGGGGGAAAACTGTAAAACGTTCTTGGCACTGCTTAACCTAATAGGTTTCAACCATTACACTACACATATACTCATAAATACACATATAAATCAGACATGCTTGTTACCAACCAATAAGTAACAAATCATTCTTTCTTACAGAAAACACAGTCAGCTGATCAGCATGCCAGAAATGATTAACATTCCAAAACCAAAACAAAAATCGTCTCTCTTGTAACCGACATTCTTAATAAATCTTAGGAACGAAATGAAAAAATGAAAATCATAATTAAATCAGTGCCCCTGATAAATGACTTTCTAAATACTTTCTGAGGAGAAATGAACTTAAGAAAGAATGTATTTGTGATTAACCGAAAGGTTATTTATGTGTAACAGTTCAATGGGAGGTTTTTTCGAAACAAAACGCGTTCTGGAAGAAACCTAATTTCTCCTTCAATTTGTTTCCCCTTTAGACACACAGTCGCCTGAATCATAATTCTGCAAATTTCATTCTGACATATGCAAATCATTTTCCGAAGACACTGCACCCAGTAACAAAGGCAAATAACATTTTCCGTTTCGAAAAGAAAAACATACTTGAGACTTTCCACATTCAAAGTGTTTTGTGTAAGGTTGTTAATTATTTATTTATCAAGGTATAATTCAATGTATTTATATAAAACTCTGTCGATATGTCAACAAGTGTTATTTTAAGATGCTAATCACAAAAGTTGTAATTATCAGAAAAATCTTAGAAAATCACACTGTATGTACGTCTTAACAAGGGAAGACAATCCAGAAATGATTATCCTGTTTGATTTTCTGGTATTCATGCCAATATTAACAACTTATTGGTCATATCTTGGCCATTGGTCAACCTAACAACTTTGCCTTTGCCCCATTTTTTGACAAAGAGAAAGAAAAAAATCGAGTTATGAAGAGAATAGCAGTTTATCATAAATTAAAGGAAATTAACACAAATTTTAACCACAAAATCGTTAAACAGACAATATTTATTTTTTTGGTCTTTCAATTAATGCCACTCTTTTTACAAAATGAAATGGCTCCAGAGAGCATTTATTTGAGATTATACAGTCAATCAATTCCATAAACTGTTTCGTTTCCGAGAAATTCATATAGTAACAACAATGTTTGTTTCTTTTTCACATTTATATGTTAACATTGTCATTTCAGAACAGTGTTTTCTTTACCTTCCGGAGTACAAAATGTTGTGCCTTTATGTAACTGTTGCTGTTATAACTAATGACACTTGTAATGATTTCAACAACAAAAGGATAAGTTTTATAATTATTTGAAACAGTACACTAATTCTAGCTAATTACGACTCTATTTTCAGAAGCCGATTTTCCACCTTTCTATTTTGACAAGCTTTAATGCTATACTAGCAGACAAAAATAACTTAATTATCGTTAAAATTGGAATCCAAAACACAAAAGTCAATGACGTGAAAGTAGAGATCTTTCGGTTATTTTACTAAAATGTCAGATGCCGGAATATAACAAAAGTCTCAAAACGTACCAGCCTCAATGAAAACGATACAATTTTAAATAGTGAACAGTATCTAAAGACTTATTCTAACAAGACTTGCATCAATTTATCTCAGTCTAGATTTTGTGTCATTTTTATGATAGCTACCCTGAATCCATTTGTTTTCCATGCAGATTCTGTAGAAACATGTTAACAAAATATAACCTACACCATACCATATTTGTATAATGGACTTTTCCTCATTTTTACTACGAGACTCCAAAGGATCTTACTGTGTTTGGGTTAAAATATTTTACACCGACCAACATTTTTGGTCGTATAAAGGTGGTCTATACCCCTCACAGGCTTTCCTGGATAACTACCCAGTAATTACCAATTTCTACACAAGTAACCGAATACTGATCCCATGATTTCTGTATTTGCAGTGACTGACAAATGACCACAAAACGTCCTGAGATAAATCGCCCCTCGCCAGAGGATTGAACCAGCAACCACTGGCTTACGATACCCAAGCTCTCCCCAGCTATTGAGATCAGTGAGCAGAACTTCAAAGTATGCATTACGACTAAAGAACTAGTTAAGAGTGTACATATTCATTCGTTTTGGGTCAAAAATCTATTTAAGTCTGTACAAATTCTAAAATAATGTTTTGATGAATAATGTGATAAAACTAAACTAATATTAAGCTTATATAGCACAACCAGAGCAAGTAATGAATAATTTTTGCTTGAAAGCCAACTGCATTATACATACATGTATTTATGTATTTACAATATATACAATTGTTCCACAACAGATGTTACTGTATTAGATATTCATAAATATCTTTTTATATATATGATGTGGGAGTAAATTTACAAGTACTTACGAGACAAATCTATACGTTTCTTTGTACATGTTAGATGCCTCGGTAATTTTGTGATCTCTCTCCTGAACGTAGCCATACTGGATGAAACAAAGAACCGACTCGAGGTACAGCACAAACTTTGTTAGACCAGGATCCTGTAAACACAAATATAGTTACCTCAGAGATACAAGAGAGAAGTTCAAGTTAATAGGAACCTCATTATTTACAAAAGAGAACCTGACTTGTTTGAGATCAACCAACAGTCCTGCAAGAACTTCTGTCTCAAATCTCAGGATTTTCATTGGCCAGTGTCTGACCAATCAAATAAGAGTATGATTTTATAACCCCCAACCAAGACTCAAAAAGAATCTGAGATCTGTTCATCTAAAGCGCTCCCCATATTGAAATAAGTTACGCTTGCACCATATTTAACCAAGACCTGATTGGCTCAAGTCCCACCAACAATTCCAAGTCCTAAACAAGGTTAAATACAAATTACTCCATCCAATTTTGTACGCTTTACAAGATAAGTCATGTTTTTCCCCTGAAATTGTTACTTTTTTTCCGAGATTGATGCTTTTTCCGAGATTTCGTGCAAAGAGGAATTTGACAGTAATCTCTTCCATTCCTTCTTTACGAGCATGTCTTTATCAGACATATTGGAGGCATGCATCAATCATTGTTTCTATAAAAGATGCGTAAGCTTCTACAATAACTAATGTTTCATTATACTTTAGACAATGCAAGGTTGCTTGGGGTTTTTCTCCTTTGTTAATTAAACAATTAATAATTTGTTGTTGTTGTTTTTTTATCCCCCTCCCTTTTCTATCATGGTCTACCTTAAATTCACCCATACGATTTAATTTATACATTTATAATAATTTGAAATGTCCTTTATGTTCGTTTTTTTCTCTTTTTTAAACATGGGAAATTTTCAAATTATTTCATGACATTTGTAATGCACAGTCTGCATTTAAACATGTTAGAATAAAAGGTCACAGGTTTACTCAACAAGGAACTAAAGACATTAAGAACCTCAAACTTGTGGTCACCTGTAATCTCTCACTCACTTTCAGTTTAAATTATAATGTCATGTCAGACAAAATACAAATATTCAAATGGCATTTTCAGCTTTTTATAAATATACATATTCAAATGGCACTGACCTCTTTTTATAAATATACATATTCAAATGGCACCTCAGCCTTTTCATAAATATACATATTCAAATGGCACCTCAGCCTTTTCATAAATATACATATTCAAATGGCACTGACCCCTTTTTATAACTATACATATTCAAATGGCACTGACCCCTTGAATAAATATGTCACTATAATAAAAGATTATTATTATTATTATTATTATTATTATTATATACACATTCAAATGGCACCTAGAACTCTTAATAAAATTATATTTTATTCAAATGTTACCTCAGTGATTTAAATAAAGTTGTTATTATTATCATTATTGTAATAAATAATATCTGTTGGATAATTTATAAAGCAATGATAAATTACTCATCATTACACTGATTTCTTTTTTCTTTTGTGTTTACGAAAAAACCATTACCATACAGTGTAAATCTATTAATAAAGGTAGAAATCATTACCATATCATCAGCCTGGTATTTGTACTTTTTTGCCTTCCTGTTATAATCTTCTGCAGGTAGTAATCTGAAACATGCAAACATAATTATCATATAAGTGAACAAAACAACTTGTCAGAGAAAATTGTATACCTTGCACATTTGGAACTTTCTCCTCTGTATGCCTTGTTAATAAGTTGTTTTTTTCTTTATTAGTTTTTTATAGAAATTATATTACTCATATTATATTATATAAGCTATTAGCTTATAGACACATGAGTTCTTGCCTGGATCAAAACAATACAAAGCAACGAGTGTAAAGTTCCTTGTTAAAGGAAACAATGGCTTGGCCTTGATTGGGTTTGAACCCATACAGCCAACAATCCTTAGATTACTAGTTTAACATGTTTATCAATAGGGGATCCATGCCTGTTTGCAGGGTTATCTGAAGATTATATATTGTCATTTTAAAGCAGTAACAGATTAAGTCCTTCTAAATTTAATACGAGTTAACCAGTTATTGCATAAAGATGGCGCATTACTGGTTAAATGAAAACCTTGAGTGCACTAACATATATTGTTTTTCGGCACAGTCAGGCACTAAAGCGGAATGCTCAACTTTCTATATACTAGCTGGATAACTAACTGGATAACTTCCTCATAATAAAGAATTCCCGCGGAAAGAACCTGAACTTTATTAAGTGGCGAGGGGCAAGTGATTTAAAATCAATGACATTAACCATGTCCCATTTTTTCAACTGAACATTTTTAGAATTATTAGAGGGATAAAGTTTTGCCATCATAACCAAGAAAACTTCCAATGTGAACAGGTTTCCAAGCATTATAACAACACCAATCTGAAAATCACTATGGTAGTAAACTATTTTTATCTTAAACAATTTAATAATCAGCTGTAAATATTAAATGTCCATTGAAATTCTGCAAGTCATCTTGCTGATTTACCTGATATTTCTCTAGTGTGCAATTTAATAGCAATATAACATTTCATTAAGTTTGATACAGCAATGTCAGCATAGACAAATTAATGACAGATTGCAGAAAAAAAAGTACTTTATTCAGCAGAAAATATTGCCCATCTTGCCTGCATTCTCGCAAAACCTATATCCTGTTATACATGTTCTAGAAAATGTATCTTGTATAAAACCTAAAATAAATTGTTTCTTGGTATATAAATGCAAAATAATGTAATAATTTGTCACCTTAGTGCAGTTAAGGGTTAAGTCCTTCTAAATTTAAGCTAACCATTTATTGCACTCAGAGATGACATATTACTTAGCAAAACAGATTATAAATAACCCTTATGCCTCTACACTTAAAGCTTTCCACATAACTTACAATAATTCCCTTTGCTGCCTTATTGAGGGTCATTCTCAATTTATCAGGACTGCTTGAGATTAAATAAAAATCTCTTGTCATGGTTACGTAAGTTGATAAATAAAATATGTTTGCTATTGATGAAAAAAAAATGTTTTTCTTCACATATATTAAATAATTTGAAAATTAACCTAATTTATCAGTCTGTTTAATTCTAACTTATTTGTAACTTATTTGTATATTTTATCAATTATATAATTATGTTGAATGATGACCTCCAAAATGGCTGCCACCTTCATCAAGGGAGATAAATATTGTAATAATTGGGAACCATCTGCTCCTGTCCTTCTCTGACTTTGGAACAGTAAAATATTATTATTCTTTTCAGGGTTTTCAACATGACAAAAATCTCAACTTCAGCAGCCAAAAGAGTAAATTATGAAAGCCTGGTCCAAATGTATGGGATATAATTAACTTAATATGTGTACAGAATTTTTTACCACCAATTGTCAGACATACAACAAATTAATGGCCTCAATTGTACTGCATTTACACTGCAGCACAGTTTTAAATAAACATTAAGAAATTAATTAAATTGAAATAAAGATTTAAATAATTAATATGCACCCATAAATTCTTCCGTCATTGCTTTTTAATGTATATACCACTTATGACTTATTCAATAAATCATCACAACGGCATTGCATTTCAATATGTGAATACCGGTTAACCCAATTTCATAATAGTTTATCATTTAGCACTAATCATAGAACATATTAATCTTTTCTTTTTTTTTAAATTTATAAAAAGGAGAAAAAATCAAAATGAAAAAAAATTTCAACATCTTTTAAGACTTATATAAATTATCTTCAGAATATTAAATTAAGTCATTTTAATGGGTAGGACGACCATAATGTTGTGTAAACAAAGTGCGAAATTACTATTTCACAGCGAGGGGCACCGGTATATTAATGAGTTCGCGATATTCACGCTTCTGGATGGAAAAATCTATTATAAACATAAACGAACAAAATTCCTTGTGCAAACTTCATCATGAAACAGCTTAATCGCTAGAGGGGGAAAACTGTCACACATAGTGCAATAAATAATCTTAACCCATTGAATGAATGACAATTTCACATTACATATATTTACAAAGGCGATTTCAGTTCGCGTACACTCAATCATTAAAATTATTATCGCCGCAGGGTTTAAACTCACAAAACTCGGTGTGCATTTCTCTGAGGCGATCATAAAAATTCGCTCCATTCGTTCAATTAATGATTGACAAAAAACGTTACTATCTATACATATAACAGAAAAAAAGAAACTCTTACTAGATATTTATTGCCGTTTTATGAGACTAGAAGAGGACAAAATCAATTGAAGCAGGAGAACATTAACTATAAGAATACCGTGCAATAACTGATGCGAAAGATGTAAATCGGTGATTATTTCTCTATCTCTTTGTCTATAACTAAAGAACTGCAGACATGTTTCGCGTTTAAAAAAAAAAAAATTTTCTCTCCAAAACCAAACAACTTACTTCAATGCAATCTTGAGTTAATCATAAAACATGTTATAGTCAAAATACCGTACAACATTTTATTGCATCTGGCATAAATTAAAAGTTATGTTTTCTTCATTTTTTTAAATTTACAGCACAAACAAAAACAAATTCACAGTATAATTATATAAACGTCACTTATACTGCATTACATAAATAATTTCTGGCAAGGTTCTTCCTACTTTTATGATGACTAGCTAATCAAAATAACTCTTTTACACATAAAAGTATTAAGCATTTCAAAATAAGTGGCGGAATAGCCGCATGGTTACCACATTGGATAAATAATCTAAGGATTGCTGATCATGTGGGTTCAAACCCTGTCAGGGGCAAGCCATTGTTTCCGTGATCAAGAAACTTTATATCCATTGCATTTTATTGGTTGGTTCCAGGAACAGATTGGAGCGTGTTTCAATAAGCTTATAGCTTCCAACATAATCAAACTAAATAATTTACTATCAACTAAACTAAATGAAAACAGTTCAAATATTTCCATAACATGCACTTTAGCCATACATGTATAGCTTCATTGAATCAATATGCATTTAAAAAATAAATAACTTTTGACAATGTTATTCATATAATTACAACTTTAATTCATATAATTACGACTTATAATCCTTAAAGAACATATTATGCTTAAATTTGATTACTTGAAAAAACTGATAATTACTACACAGTCTCTTTTGAAAAGTAAAATAAACAATTTATATTCATAGTTTGTGAATACATACAGAGAAAAAAGTTATGTTTTGAACTACAGCACCTCAGGTAATCACAGTATGATGATTACAAAGCGTCTTAAAAAAAACCTGGCAGTTTCTATAAGATTAGACCAAATGTATTTGATAAGTAATAGGGAAAGCAACTTCCCAAATTCACTTATTCAAATTAGACATATTCCATAAGAATTTACTAGATTTCAATAAATTTCTGCAATGAAAGTATTTTAGCCAAATATGAGCATAGAATATCTTTAAACATGCAGGAACCAAAAGTAATTAAAATTAAGCCTTTGCAACTGAGCTTCTAGCTGGCTTGGCGTTGCACATCCATGCAGTCAGATAAGATTCAAATGGACTGTTAAAAAATCATTTAACAAATTCTTCATGTTGTTGTCAGAAATCAATTTTTACCACCTTTTCTTGCTTAAAATATGTGTCTAAAAGTAGTATTTGTTGCAACTTAGATGGGTTTTTGGGGAGAATGGTTTGAACCTGTATTAACAGGCCACCTATGACAGAAATATAGTCAATATAGACCTTATATTGAAAAACCTTGACAAACAATATCCTAGTTTTAGTACCCTTGTTTTAGAAAAATGTTAAAACCTTTAATATTAGACCATCAATTTCAATACAGCAGAACCTTTACTTAGAGACCACCTACAACCTTATTTTCAAATTTACCATGATCAGCATTTCTGGACAGGTTTCACTGTTATTTGCAAATTACAGAAATTTCACAGAATATGCCATCAAATTTCCTTTAGCCCAATTAACCTTTCAATCCCAGGCAATAATCATTCTAACGACTTTAGCAGAGCCCTAATTACGATCCATTTATGCCTCATACAATGCAATATCTCGTCAAGATGTAATATGAGCCCTTAGATAAACAATAGATCATGGAAGAAATGCGGTTAGTAGTGGTCGTTTTTTACCATTCCACTATAAGAAATGCTTGTTTCCTGAAACAGTTTCTTTCTTTTTCCAGCAACTGTCAGGTATGGAATCCATAATGAAGATTTAATCAAGAACATTCCTTGCTTTACTGACAACTTTGGAATTCCTTAGTTAAAAATTTAATTAAGAATATTATCTGCTTAGCACAAAGAACTATTATGTTTTGTATTGTATAATTATAAACGGAAAACGTCATAGCTATGTTATTTTAATAAGAGTAATTTCTATAAAAGAGTCGTTTACACTGAGAGACCCTCACCTGGAATGTCCAGGGATACCAACCTTTTTAAGAAAAAGTGCTAAATCTCCGACTTAAAACCATAACTCAGGCTAAAAGTCTTAAATGGACTTGTCCATGTTTCAATATAGACAAAACCATATGTCAGGAAAATTTCAAAAATATGTACTGACTAAATAGTGGAAAATGCAGACTAAATCAATGCCAACTGATCTTGGTCTGCACTGGTTGCATTGATAGATTCTGTAGCCGCCAGTAGACTAAGGGTTAAAACAAGAGCTAAATGTTTGCAATGCTTAAATTGTAAAATATATTTGAAATGCTTTAAACATGAGCACATTCTTTGTCAATATAAGGGGATTTTCACTGACAAAAATATTAAAATTCAGCAAGACACAGTAAAGAGCTGACTGAACAAACGGTCAGACTGGCCTGACCTGATTAACTGGCATTGGCAAGTTGTTTAGCCTTTAGCCTCCTAGTGGAAACAGATTCTATCCCTTTCAACCAGTACCAAACAAAATCACCCATCTGCTCATGATCTGCACTGGTTGCTATACAGTCAGCATACATTTTTGAAATTTTCCCTTAAAATGATAAATGATTTTGTCAAGACTGAAAGACAGACATGACCATTTTCAGTTTTTTGGGGTGGTATAAGGTGTAAATTTCTTGTGTTCTGGTTATATACCTTTCTTCTTCTTCTTTATCAGACAACATACTTCTGTAAAATGGTGGATTATGTACAACAAAACCATTCTGAGAGTGAGAGGGCGTATCTAATGTTTCATACTTAACAACCTGAAAAAAGACACAGAAAAAAATTATTTCAAAAATCATTTGAGAAACATCTGGTATCAATATCTAATTCTAGGAGTATTTTTCAATCTTTATTTGATTCATGAAAAGTCATGAGATTTAAACTATAAAATTTAGATTTTTACAAGTATGGATAAAAGAAGACCAGAAGAAGCACTCAAAGACACATTGGTCCACTATATATAGTTACAAATCTGAACGTGATCAGAAAATGAACCTTCCTGTCTTCACACCTATCTCGCAAGTGAATTAACAGTCGTAAGTGGAGAAACAGAACAATTATCTTTCCGCGATACAGATGTTCATGCACTTGTATAATTAAAGAATTAATGATTTGTTATTTTAAGAATAAGAAGATATATATGGATCGTGAATTAAAACGTTTAGACATCAAAAGCAAAAATGCTATTGTGTACATACTGGGGTCACGACAGCTGTTGATTTGGACCTGTCATGAGGCCTGTTTATAGCACCCGATGATGGCCGCAGACCACCGTGACCCGGACCAATATCGTCGTGAGTCCGAGCCCGTTTCTGACTGCGATGACCTTGTGAACCCTTCTGGCTATGAGAACTACGTTGACTAACATTGCTGTGTGTACTGTGCTGACTAGATGCACTGCCGAGTCGCTCACGTTTTATCGGCACGCTGATTTCTACTGGTTGCGATCTGAATAACAAAACACATAAATATAGAAGTCAGGTATTTAGCATTGTGCTCACAAGAAAAGCTGCTCATCATGGCATTGTTGAGGGTGTGATTTAAATCATATTCATCAAGTCTGGCCACATCAAAACATACCTGATGTATTATATACAATTATAACACCTTTCTAAAATGAGTAACCGATGAGTCAAAGTATGGATGGGCCTGTCTAAAAATTCATTAAACATGCATTTATTATTCAATCCAATGTAAGATCATCTTTTAACCCTTAATGGGCTTAAGGACTGATGTTGCTGTATTTATTACCATAATTATTTCTACTAAGTTACTGACACAGTAAGGGCAATTTTTGCTTATTTTAACCTCTTTTTGTTAATTTACATGTATTGCATGTGTTGTTTGCAATGTGCAAATTATTTTCATTGTTCATTTCACAATGTTTAAATTTTAAATATTTAAATTTTAAACACATTTTTAACACTTTAACACTCTAAGGGGTTACATGTTTATCAATAATCGCATGTGTTATCAAACTTTTACATTTTACATTAAATTTCCTTTTCTATATCTTTCTAAGAAATCATTAAGTGGACAAGATTCAAGGAGCTGACTACATAAGTAGTAAAATAAACACTGGTTAAACATTAACATAACACTTGAAACCTGTTTTCAAAATGATATCTTACATCATAGAATATTTCATGAAATATAATTTATGATTAAAAGTTATAAATTCAGAAGTGTAAGAGAATAACATGTAAAATTATACAAATATTAACTTCAACCTTTTCCACTACTAGATATTGATCAACATTTATAAATAAAAAAAAACAAAAAACAAAAAAAAACTAACAATCTTTATTTGCACAAAAAACAATAAAATGCCATGATTTATGATTTAGGTCACAGGCAAAAGTATCGGACCTGGAAAGAAAAAATATGACCAGATTGATAAAAAAAAACCTGTGTTCATCTTAAAAGTGTCAAAAAAAAAACAAAAAAATGTATATAATGACCCCCTTTAAAAATATACTATAAGTTAAGAGAAGGCCGGAAACTCCAGATTCGAGCCTACGAGCAAGGGATTCATTTCCCGGGCCGTTGTGAAAACAATTGGCCAGACAATTAAAAAAAACTTTTATCACTATTTCACGTTTATATATTGCTCGTAGGCTCGAATCTGGAGTTTCCGGCCTTCTCTTAACTTATAGTATATTTTTAAAGGGGGTCATTATTTACATTTTTTTTGTTGTTTTTTTTTGACACTTTTAAGATGAACACAGGTTTTTTTTTATCAATCTGGTCATATTTTTTCTTCCCAGGTCCGATACTTTTGCCTGTGATTTAGGTTAGAACAACAACAATTAAAATTTTAAGCTTTTCTGGCATAGAAAATTGTAGCTTCCATGCTGAATCTTCCCTTATTCTTCATTAACCCTTACGGCACTAAATATCTTAAACGAAATCGTCTGTCTTTCGATATTCATCATTTCTGGAGAAAATTTCAAAATAAGTACTGACTGAATAGCGAACAATGGAGACCCTGATCTGAGGTGGAAAACCAGCTGATCTTGGTCTGCACTTGTTGCATGGTTTTAAACGGTTCCCGCCCGCAGGCTAAGAAGGTCTTATGAGAGGGCGAGAGTTTCGAGCCATCGAGAGACTGGTCAAACCACACATACGTAAAGACTTGGCAGCCCCCATCTCTTGCGACAAGGGTAAATCTTTAATATTACCAGCATTTAAAGCATTAAAAGAAAAACTTAGATTTAACCACATTTTATGATTTAATTATCATTTAACAAAATTTGAGTGGGCCATTAGCTATAAAACGAGTGGGAAATAATTGAAATGAAACCCAGAGAAGAAATTTATTGCTAAAATATGACATAAAGATCATGGTTTTTTTACTTTTTGACAGGCATTTTCCCTCAAAAAAGCGAAGTTAATTCATAATTACTATAATTATATTTAAGAAAAGTTCTGACTTGTGAAAGCAATATGGGGGAGGAATTTATTACATGCTTTTCGGTGGTTTATAGAAAAATATCAGTGATATAAAACTGGTAATTTCACTGTTTGAAACAGTGAAATTACCACTTTGATAATTTCACTGTTTTGAATTTAAGCCCCTTACGTTGTTTCAGTGAAATACCAGCGTGCACAGTACTGGGTACCAACTTAATGACGTGACGTCGTAAATGACGTCACGTTGTATTATTATTTGGCGCGCTTTTCATTCAGTATTAGGTTTAATGTCTTTTTAAAACGTTTCTTTGCATGTAATAAAAAGAAAATTTGTTTAGTTTAGAGTAAGATTGAAATATATTTCACCTTGTGAACTCCAAAAGTTCATATTTCACTCGTGGCTGCGCCACTCGTGAAATATACCTTTTGGTGCTCACTCGGTGAAATATATTCCGATCTTACACTGAACTAAACAAATATCCTCTATATCTTTTTTCCTTTTTTTTATTTTTTATTTTTTTTTTTTCATTACGCATGGCTTGCTACCTTAGAAGTCCTGAAATCATTCATGGAAATATTTTCATAATATGTATACTTATATTAGATATTTTAAACAGATATCACATTTATTAATCAAATTTCAATTACCATATTTTTTTTCAAGCTTCTTGTCACTTTTGATATGTTTGAAAATAAATCCGCAAATACATTTCACATGGGACAATAACCATTTTAATGTATGATGAATTATAAACATCAAATAAATGAAATAATACTGATAAGCATACAATAGCTCAGGCCAGAAATTTCAACCTTATGCAGATATAATTATGTGGGTGCATGTGTAAATAATAGCCTGACATTTTGCCTTCAATTTGTTTACAAACTCTTATAGAAAATTATTACTAAAATACAAGTTTAGAACAGAGACCATCCCCTCACAAAGGCCAATCACATTCTATAGTTTATGAAAATTTATGACAAAATATACAAATTACAATCAATTTTGAAAATTTGCATGTTTTATGCAAATAAGACCGAATTTACTCTTTTTTTTATATTACCATCTTTCTACCCTGTCACAGAAACAGAGTAAGTGCTAAATAATCAACACATGATCAGGGATCAAGGGTTCGAGCCTAAATCGGGTCACAACCATGTTTCTTCTTATGACACCAGTACTATTTGATTATATAAGTTGCAAGAACTTGTTTAGCAATCGTGCTTAAATAAATATGTTTAAACCAAATAATCAACACATTTTGATATCATTCTAGCCTTTACCAGTCTGCAAGTATAGAGCAAGGGCAGCCATGAAGTCTGACCAGGCTCTATACTGTTGGCCGACTTACATTAATTTTTTATCTTCATATCCCCTAAATTGATAATTAATGGTTCTAAAAATGATAGCTGGAAGAGTCAAATAGGAAATTTAACATGTTAAGGATTAAATTCCCATAAAAATTTAAGGATTAAATTCCCATAAATATAAACACTAAGTGTATGGGTGGAGAGCTGTGTTGAGAATAAAATGATGCTTTTAATTAATGTCAAAGCTTTTTTTTACATTACACGGTCATTTCTATCATTCTACTCCTTCGAAAAAAAAATTTAACAGACACGTATATATACCAGACCTACCACACACACCGCTCGCCATTTTTTTATTATCTTTCTGCCATATTAACAATTATCATTGAGTACATCTTCATAAAAACTTTAACAAGATCTCCATAAAATATTATGTTATAATTTATCATAAACAGTGAATCTTCTTCAAGTGAAATTATATTCATTCATTATAAATATCAGATAGTTCACCGAGTTTTTTTCTTAATTAAAACCTTGTATCGAAAATTGTGTTTAATATTATGCTGTAGGCAAAGTAAATCTTATTGATTTTCCATTTGTTTAATTTGCGGTCAATTAATTTATTTTTTTATTATATACATGATCAATTTTTTTTCTTTCTTTACAGTAAATTATTAATCCATCATAAATGTTTTTATTTTTTTTTGGGAAAAATTATCAATCCATCATGTTTTCCTATTTTCTTATTATTTTAGGGTAAACTACAGCCTGATTAATGTAATCACGAATTGTCTTGTTTAGGACTTGCATGGTCAAATCATACTGGCTAGCAATTGCCCCCATTTACAACTTTGTCAAATCATACTGACAAACTTCAGGCTGGCCTGTAAACAAGTAGTGCCCCATCTACAACTTGGTCAAATCATATTGACTGGCCTGACTCTATGCCATTAATAAGCTCGAGTTATTGCAGATTACTGCTTTTATGTTCAGTTTTTTTTTTTAGAGACCATTCTGAACTGGATACAATTGATCAAACCCACATTAAGATAGTATTATCCTATAATACATTCAACCAGGATAGCAATTATTTATTGCAATATGTTTCACATTATTGTTATGAAAAACAATATAAAACTAAGGCATGAAAGGTAAATGTCCATAACAGCCTTACATCTATATCAAACAAAAAATATTAAACTGTTTGTAAATTAACACATTTGCAGGACTTAAATATATGGCTGAAACACAATGATATCACGTTTTTGACCATTTTTGTTTTGACAGTAATCAATCATGTAATGAATCAAATTTTACAAATTACTTTGAAACTGAAATCAAATTAAGTTAAATTTACTCCAGCAGAACAATTTCCAGCACTGGAGATTTAATACAAAGATTTTACGACAGTCTAAATGATCAATAAATGCAACACTAAATTTGAATTACACTCAACATTTTTTTCCGAACCAATTATACTTGCACGTCCCAAAGTCCCTTATCTGGTTGGAAAATAACCATTTTAAAATCAGAAGAAAAAAAACTTCCAGCAATCTTTTGTGGGAACCAAAGCCTTTAAAATCACTAAAACTTTAATCAGCTCCGGATTCTTGATTAAGTCCTGCAGAAAAGTGCAGTCTAACTTGTAATACTGTCTGTATGGGAATAATCCACCTTCATCAATAAACTTTTCAACATATTGTTTGGCTGGTTACTATTTTATA